AGTGGCAGGTGGTGACTGCAGTGGGCGAATGATGTGAGAAGGGCTGGCCTCCCCACCACCTCCCAGGGAGCTAGGTCCCCAGCCACCTCCATGGCCCGAGAGTGCTGGGGAATGGCCAGTACTATAGCTGAGAGAGGGGCTGGCTGTGGGCAGCCCCTGAGAATGGGCAGCTGGGCCTGGGTAGGGCTCGCCCTGTACCCCATACAGCTGCCCCTGCAGCTGGTCTGGGGAGTAGCTCTGACATGTGGCTAGGCCAGGAGGTGGGGGACCACTGGGGGCTTGTGGGGGGGCCCCTGAATAGTTAGGGCCTTTGCTCAAGTCCTGTGCTTGCCCCCCTCCAAACCCCTGCCCATAGGCCTGGGGTCCCAGAAGCCCTTGAGGCTGACCAGGGGAATAGGCCTGGCCCCCTGCCCCACCAGCCCCAGAGGCCTTTCCAGTGGCATAGGCTGCGGCTGGCCCTCCCAGGCTCTGGCATTTGGGTGTGGCAGTCGAACGGGGTGGTGGAGGCCTTGTGGCACCCCCTGCTGCTGCTCCATAACCACCTTTGCTAGTCTTATAACCAGGTGACTGAATGATGGGGCGGTAACCACCACCACCACCACCAGCTCCACCTCCCCCAGCTGCCTCAGGGCCTGTGGCTCGGCCTGATGCCCCAGCTGTGGCTCCACTGGGACCAGCTTTGCTAGGCTCTCCAGCACCCGGGGAGGGCTCTCCACCACCCAGAGGGCTACACGCCAGATTGGCCCGGTGGCCCATGGAGGGGTAGCTGCCTCCACAGCTCAGGTAGTGCTGGAGGGCATGGGCTGGTGGCGGAGGTGGCGGGGGCTGAGCACTGGCTGGCCGCTGGTAGTGCTTGATGACAGTATCCTGGCGGGGCAGGGCCCGTTCAGGTGGTGGTGGGCCTGGGGCAGTACCCGAGAAGTTGTAGAGCTGTGGGGAGGATTGCTCAGCGGCAGCAGCAGAAGAGGAAGCCAGCAGATTGAACTGAGTTGGGATATGACGGGGAGGGGGTGGTGGGTCTGGGGGACCAGGGCGGTAAGGAGGGGTTTGCGCTGGACCAAGACCAGCAGGCCCCAGGACACCACCACCTGCCAGGCGCTCAAAGCCTAATGAGGAGGGTACCGTGGATGCCTGTGTGGGCTTCAGGTGTAGCACATCATGAGGGGACAGGAGCCCATTAGCTGGAGGACTGAATGGGGGGTCCTGGAGGCTCAAGGACGAAGGTACTGGGAAGGGACGGCTGCCAAAAGAAGCTGGGTGCTGGTAGGCTGACAGGGCAGAGGAGGACGGAAACGTGCTGGAACCCGGCAGGGCGCCCGAGATGAAGAGTTCCGTAGGGCCTGGCGTGTGCATGGCTGAAGATGACAAACACTGGAGGTCAGAGTGGACCACAAGCAAGCCCCACCCTGTCCCTCCAGGGCTGGCACTGGGCTTACCTGTTTGCCAGGAAGGACTGCGGAACTGGGAGAGGAGAGAGGAGGCAGAGGGGCCAGGCTGGGGGCCCCGAGACTCCAGGGCCGAGATGAGGTTCATGACGGAGGCGTCAGGCCCTGCTGAGCCTGCATGGTGGAGGCCAGTGTCGAAGAGTCCAGAGAGGCCTAACCATGCATAAGGAATAGAGTCAGCCAGGTGGGGGAATGGCAGTTAGGCAGGGTTAAGAGAGAAACAAAAAGTCTAGAGGCAAGGTGGTTCAGGGAAACAATTTGGATAGAACAGAAAAGGACGTATTCAAAGAGGAGAGAAAATAGTCAGAATCAAGTTAACCAGGCAGGACTGAGGGAAGGGAAGGGAGGAAAGGTGAGGCAGTCCAATGACAAGGGCAGTAGGTCTGGGTCTGAAAATGATAGACCCAGAAGTGAAGGAGCCAGGAGCAGGACAGAGTCCTCTGTAAGGCCAGGGGAGAGGCCAAATGATTTGGGCAATTCTAGCCAGGAAGGGTAAAGGACAGGATGATTAGAGTCACACAAGGACTGGAGAACAAATCAAAAGGGGTTGAGCCAAGGTGAGAAGATCCAGGGGAAAAACGGGTAAGGAAAAAAGGGGCCAATCAGGTGGGTCAAGGGTCAAAGTGGACAGCACTATCTCACTGCTGGTACATCTAGGAAGGGGGAAGTAGCATCAAAAGAAGGGAACCAATCAGAAGCACTGGAGACAAGACCAAAGGGTCAAATAAGGTAGTAGACAAATCTAAGAAAAAAGGGGGAGGGCCAAACAATTGGAGCCAATCAGGAAGAAAGGGAATTAGAAAGAAAGGAAATCAGGAAGAAAGAATTCAGAGTTCCAAGGAGCACAGAGTATTAGGCTAACACAGAAGGAAAGGATTGGGGCGAACTGGAAAGAGAAGGAAAAGCCTGGAAGAGAAGGTGGGATTCGGGGTCTGATGGGATAGAGCCAATTGGAGCGAAAGGGGCAGGGCCAGAGACAGGGGCGAACGAATCCGGCGTGAAATTAAACGGCGACTAGAAGCCTCAGAGGCAACCAATCAAAGGAGAGAAAGTATGGGGCGGGCCACGATACACCATACAGCCAATTAGAAGGGGTGGAACTTTCAGCAGCCAATTACATCCCTCTGAGGGAGGGCTAGCACAAACGGGGCGGGATGGGGGCCGTACCTGCGGGGTGGTGGTTGGTGGCATAGCTTTGCAGTGGGTGGGGGGCCGCGTAGGCCTGGCGGTGTAAGATGTCGGTCTCGGGGTGCGAGGTCCTGGAGCTGCCATAGACCAAGCTGAGGGGAGGGAGTGAGATGTCAGGGGGTGCTCCCAAGCTGCCCTCTGAGAAGGGAGCTCAGGAAATCCCCCGGGGAGTAGGGGGGAACCATCCAGGTGACTGGGGCTTATACCAAGGAACCCTGGGCCCTAAAGGTGATAAGACAGGTAATGGGGATGCCCAACTACAAAGCCGCAGAAATGCTCCCACTCCAGAGCCCTAATAGTCTCACGTTTATAGACATGCACAGAGATGAGACAAACACACAGGAGAGGGTGCAAATAAGACTACCTTGAGTTGCAAAAGTGAAAGGAGTGGACCTCCTACTGAGCCCTCCCCTGCTGCCCTCATACCCTATCTGCCCCCTCAACCTGACACCAGTGACACAGGCCAACTGTACAAGTGCACATAAATGCCCCCTTTTCTGCATACACGTGGGAACACATAGGCCCTGAACCTCATAGGGTGGTGCAAACCAAAACGGTAGGAGGAGGTAGACTGTTCCCCAAACGGTCCCGGTGGAGGATGGGGAGGAGAGAGGATAGGACCGGGGGAAAGTACCAGGTACAAGTGTGAACAAGAACACCGTCCATCCCCGGAGGTTGAGGTTCAAGTGCACGGGCCCGTGCAAAGCCAGGTATGTATGCAAACGGGTATCCAACTCACTCGTGGGGAAGAAAAGATACAGAGCGAAGAGTCCCACAAGGAAAATCCTGACACACCTTGGGTTATGCCCAGCCAAGCTGGGAAACCCAGGTGTGTGGAGGGGGGAGGTGTTCAGGGGCAGGTGAAGTGTGAGGGCGCCACACAGATATGCAGCAGGAAAGGGAAAGATTCACAGGTGAACACGCTGCCAACGACGCACGCAGGGGACCACGCTCTCACACACACAAACACACACCGGGAAACATCAACGACCCCAAACCCATGGTCAAAATTTAAGAGGGCAAACACTCCATTCCATGCCATCAACTAGGATTCTCTGCTTTGGGGGGTGGGGGAATGGAAGGGGGCGTGTCCCTGATCTAAACTCCCCCCTCACACACAGAACCCCAGTTTAGGAAGGGGGCGGGGTCCCATGCCCACTCTACGCGCGGGAATTTCTTGGGGGGGCTTGTGGCGCGGCCTCGCGCGGTCCCGGAACAATAGAACCCGGGAGGGGGTGCGCGCCCCCCAAGCTTGCATTCTAATTCTCTTTTCCATCCCACCTTGCAAAAGCAGAGCTTGGGGTACGAGGGGGAGGGGTCAGCAAGCTGGAAATCCAAGGATGGGGGGAAGTCCAGGCCTTGCTTCGCCAGTCCCTCCCACCTTCCCAAGGCCTTCCCGTCCAAAATTGTTTTGCACCCCCATTTTCCCGCTGCATTTCTTCCTTTGCATGCCGGAGCTGGCTTTGGCAGAGTTTGCAATTTGCAAACTGGGGCGGCGGCGTTGTTACAAACCGAAGAAGGCCGCTCCCTTGCAACCCGGAGGGGAGTTTGCGATGCACGCGTCGCCGGGCGGGCCCGGCCCGGCCCGGCTGGGCTCCCACCCCTTGGCCCCTTTCTCAAGGCCACCCTTAGCTCCTTACCTAGCTTTCGCTGACCTCTCGTAACTCCATCCCGCCCCGGCGCCGAGCGGGTCCCCGAAGCCGGCGCTGGGGTAGTTCCTGTCCATGAATTGGCCGCGGTGGAAATTGGGGGGAGGGGGAGGGGGGAGGGAGGGGGGCGCGCGCGCGCTCTCCTCCGCCGCCGCTCCCTCCGCTGCTGCTTTTTCCCCCCCTTTTCTCTCTGTCTCTTTTTCTCTTTGCAGCCACAGAAGGCCCGGGAAGGCCCCGGGCGGGGGAGGGAGGGGTCAGGGGCGGAGGGGCGGGCAAGGGAGGGGGTGCAGCCACTGAGCCAAGGAGGGGGGAAGGGGGGGTTCCCCCGGAGGAGGGAAAGGGGGGAGGAGGGACCCCGCTGTCTCCGCCTTTGCCCCGGAGCTTGCAAAAGAGAACGGGGGGCGCGCGCTCGGGAGGGGGCGTCCCGGGCGGCCCCCGGGTGGGTGCAGGCGCTAGGTGCTCGCTGCTCGCCGCCGCCGCCGCCGCCTCCTCCTCCTCTGCGTTCACTGTGCAGCCATCTTTGCACAAGGCGGCTGGGGGAGGGGGGAAGGGAAGGGGGGCGGGCGGCGGGGTGTCTGGCTGCGCTCCGCTTCCTCCCACAATCCCGTGCAAATGAAAAAAAAAGAGAGAGGGAGAGACTGAGCGCAAGCAGGGCCTGGGGGTGTAGGGCGCAGCGTTTGCACAGAAAAAAAGCTCGGATGCGCCGGGCAATGTGGTTCATTTCATTAGATTTTTATTTGTTTGCATTGTTTCAGCTTCTTTTTTGGGCTGCTTTCCAAAGAGCGTTTAATTAGGGGAACAGGTCAACTCCAACTCCCCGGCATTCGAGCCTGTCTCCACCGAGCACGGTTGCAAATACGCCCCTCACTCTTCCCTGGGTTATGAGGCACCCCTGAGTGCACACCGAGAGCGCACGAAGACCCACGTATGCACAAGAGGGGCTCATTGCGTCCGTACCGCATGGCACTGGAATCGATGATCGGGTCACATCTGCCCACATACGAAAGACCACACACCCGGCCTAAGATCCTGGGTCCGAGTTTCACGCTCTCATGCCTACCCCAGGGGTGGGACCGGCGATTACACTCAGGGTCAGGAGAGCGTGGGGACGCGCGAGAGGCCAGGACGCGGGAACGTGCTAGCCAGGAACAAATGTATCCGTAAGTGGTGGAAACACGTGTGGCAGAGTAGGCCACCGTGGGGACGACCCCTACTCCCACCATCCCTCCAAGTTCAGCTTCAGAGTCTAAGAGGCCTGGGGGCTTCCGGAATCCAGTGTGAATCGGGAACGGTTCGGAGAGTTGGGGCTCGGAGACAGCCCTTCAATGAGGCCTCCTGAGGCTGGAAGCAGAGCGGCACAGTAGGGAGTCAAAAATCCGGCAGCATTTCTCCCCCCGCAACCAAGACCACTCCGACCGCCCTCGGCATCTGAGCCAATCCTAGACCCTCTGGGCACAAGCCCCACCCTCCTACAATGCTCCACACGGAGAACGCTGGGCCACGCCTCCGCACTCCAAGCTCCGCCCCAGATAAGAAGTCCCAAATTCCAGGGCTAGGCCTGGAACCCACGCCCCGCCTCCAACAGTCTCCTCCCCTCTTTGCCCCGCCCCCAAACAGAAGCCCCGCCCATACCTGGTGTAAGGAGGCGGAGGTGCGTCGTGCACCCCAGAGGCTGCCAGCGCCTGCTCATAGGTTGGGAGGCCTGGGGGTGGGGGCAGGGGCGTCGGTGGGCCCAAAGGGCTCAGAGGAGTCATAGGGCTGATGAGCTCAGCTCTGGGAACACAAAAAGGTGTAGTTAGTAGGTTAAACCTACAGGATAGAGACTTGGGAGGAAGAGCATCTAGGAGACAGAGGTTCTGAAGGTGGTACAGGAACAGATGTGGAAGGGAGACGACCAGAGGAAAGGACCTTCAGCCTAGTCCTTCACACTGAAAAGTGTCCAAAATGACAGGCCGATGCACATGGACAAGCAGATTCTCATTCACAGACACACAACTGCACCAGACACAGGCAGAGTAATGGAGAAAAAAGACAGCCTGAAGAGAGGCAAGCTGACACACACAGAAACAGCAGTCAGCCAATCCATACAGACAAGAGCACAACACAATCAGTCCCAAACTTTACAGATTCACTCCTATGATTAAACTCATCCTAAACCTTCTGCACTTCTGACCCACTATACTTCCAAATGGTCACTTATGTACCCTCTCAGACCCTACCAGTGAGAAAGACACCCCTAAACAACTCCTGCACACACACACAATGCTGTACCCTGTCACTGCAGAAGCTGACATACCACAGACACCCATAGACCACAGGCTGCAGTTACATTTTGTATTTTCTTAACTTTGTGCCAGATACTGAAGATTTAGACAGACAGACAAATAGACACTATGACCAGACACAAAATATCACAGACTCACTCTCCACGTGACTGTGTCCTCAGATCTTTCATCAGTGCCAACCTGTCCCCAATCCTTAGCCCATTTCTTCCTTCCCCTGCTCTCCACCCCTTCAGTCTCCTCCCAGAAGCCCCCTTACTCTTGGGGACAGGGCTGTTGACTTCGGCGCCGTCGCCAATGCAGATACCAAAAGGCTCCCAGACCAGCCAGGACAATGAGCAGGATGCCAGATGTCAACCCCACTGCCAGGCCTGCTATGTCCACTCGTCCACGCCCTGCAGGGAGGTGAGGGGAGCCACTGGCTTAGGGGATGGATGCCACCCACTCCAACATCCAAATTCCTTCCCCTGACGGAGAAGTACAGACTATGAGGCAAGGCAGAGCTGGGGCCATTTGCTAGCCCTATGACCTCAGGCAGTTCACCTCACTCCTCTGTCTGAGCCTCCATGTTCTGCTCTGTAGAACGAGAAACATAATTCCTACACTACTGGCTGAGAGAACTCAATGAGATCAAATGTGTAAGTGGCCCGTGATAACTTCATATGGGACTAGAAAATATGGCAGGTAGCTGTATCAACACAACTAGAAACACCCTCCCTGGACACTGAGTAGTTCACATCCCTATGAGTCAGGGGGCACAGTCTCCTACGGGATCCACCCAATGAGCCAGCAGTTGATTTCACACATTGTATGTAGGTGGGGAGCCTTGGTACCTGGAGGCTACTGGGCACAGCCAGATGTAGCAAACAATAACACAGGTCTACTCAGTTAAATGTGAAGTTCAAATACACAACAAATAATTTTTTAGTGTATGTCCCATGCACTATTTGGAATATACCTATGCTTTAAAATTTTTTCATTGCATATCCAAAATTCAAATTTAGGCCAGGCATGATGGCTCATACCTATAACCCTAGCACTCTGGTAGGTCAAAGTGGGTGGATCACCTGAGCTCAGGAGTATAAGACCAGCCTAAGCAAAATAAAGACCCTGTCTCTATGAAAAATAGAAAAACTAGCCAGGCATTGTCATGTGTGCCTATAGTCCCAGCTACTTGGGAGGCTGAGGCAAGATGATTGCTTGAACCCAAAAGTTTGAGCTTGCTGTGAGCTAGGATGCCATGGCACTCTACCCACACAGTACAGAGTGAGAAAAGAAAACAAAAAAATCAGGCCAGGTTCTGTGGCTCACGCCTATAATCTCAGCACTCTGGGATGCCAAGGCAGCCAGATCGCCTAAGCTCATAAGTTCAAAACCAGCCTGAGCTACAGTGAGACCCGTCTCTAAAAATAGCCAGATGTTGTAGCAGACACCTGTAGTCCCAGCTACTTGGAAGGCTGAGGCAAGAGTCTGAGATTGCTGTGGGCCATGACACCACATTTCTCTGTCGGCGGTGACAAGGTGAGACTCTGTCTCAAAAAAAAAAAAAAAAAGTCAAATTTAACTGATGGTGGAGGTAGAGGGACCTACCTTCACCTCCTTCTGTATTTTCTCTGGCAATGCTGCTTGCTCCCATTTATAGCCCCTCTTACCAATCAGGCTAATAAGAGGCAACGCCTCAAGTCTGAAGGAAGAGCAGAATCTACGTGATGGCTTCTGAACTTACCAGAAGCTAGGAAAAATTCATTCAATAATAGGGAGGACTTAGGAAGCCTTCCCCAAATAACTAGGAGTCTAGAATTCATGTGGATCTGTTGTGAGGCGCAGCCCCCATCAGCAATCCAAGGGCCAGGGGACACAGAGAAAACTTAGGCTTTGTGAGGCCTTACTAGCTATTGCTTCTGGGGAAATTTCCTTTGACACTGGGCAGGGGGACTTTCCTCAAACAGTAAACCCCTGGCTTTTTAGCCCCCCTTAGCAAAAAGCTGCACTGAGGAGGTGGGTCCTCCTGATTTAGGCTTGTTTCAGATGGATTCAAGGAGTCACTAGCCTAGTATGGCCTGTAAGGAGGGAGTCACCTCCCCTAGCAACCAGGCTCCAATGTAAGGGCTTCAGCCCAGACCTAGGGTGTGTTGCTAAGGGGCATTTACCCATAGCAACCAGGCCATAAGGAGGGGTAGGGTATCTGGTGCCCAGAGGGTGGTCCTCCAGTGGGCAGAGGCCTTGAGTCCTGGAGCCTGGCTAGATGCAGTTGCTAGGGAGAAGGCCTCCTTAGCAACCAGGCAGTGCTGGGCTAGGCTGGGGCCATGGGGGAGGGGAAGCCAGCCAGGTACTGCTTCAGGCTTCCTTGGTCTGGCCTGGCCAGCCCTGTTGCTAAGGAGCAGCCCCCCTTAGCAACAAGGCTGCTTCCAAGATGGGGCCTCAGAAACCAGGAGAGGGGTTGGGATGGGCAAGTTGGGCAGGTGAGGATGGCCAGGCTCCCTGGCCCTGTTGCTAGGGAGCAGCCCCCCAGTAACCAAGCTGCCAAAGGAGCTGGGGCTCTAGACTCCAAAGAAGGGCTCAAGTAAGTCCACGCATTTGGCTCTAAAGCTTGACAGTCTCCATGGCTAGAACCCTTTTCTCACCAGCATTTCCTCCTTCCTAGAGACATGGGACCTCTACCCAATAACCCAGTAGATATAGTGGGTTCCTCAGGCAGGGGCTCTGGTCTCAAGGGAAGGGAATCTTTTAACAACCATCTTCAAAGAGGACAGGATTGGGAAGACAGACGTTTCGTTTTCGAGACAGAGTCTCACTCTGTCACCGTCAGTAGAGTGCCTTAGCCTCATAGCTCACAGCACCCTCAAACTCTTGGGTTCAAGTGATCCTCTTGCCTCAGCTTCCCAAGTAGCTAGAACTACAGGTGCCTGCCACAATCCCTGGCTAGTTTTCCCTATTTTTAGTAGAGATGGGGGTCTCACTCTTGCTCACTCTTGAACTCCTGAGCTCAAGTGATCCAGCCGCTTCAACGTCCCAGAGTGCTAGGATTACAGGCATGAGCCATCATAGCTGGCCAGGACAGATGATTCTTGTGCCTAACTTGGGGTGAGGAGTGTTGGTTTGGCCTTCATGGGAAGGGGCTGCCTTTGCTGCACAAAACAATAGGGCTTCAGCCCCAACTCACCTCCTTTGCCATTGTAGATGTAGTTTTCCCAAAAGCGCTCCTTGAAGGGGCCAGGGTGGAAGAGAAGGGAGAAGGTAGCAATTCAGCTAGAAGATTCACCCCCCAAGTTACCCCCATCTCTGAAATGCTAAGGAGGAGGGAGTTGAGGGCCAGGACACCCCTCCCCCAGGGCCTAGAGGAGTCATGGGGCCCCAAATCCAGGTCCCAAGTCCCTCACTGTCAGAGTGTTGTCCTCAAAGTACTCCCTCGCCTCTTCCCAAGAACACCTCTCCTCATGACACTCCCGTTCCAGGTTCCCAGGTGTGAACAGTTCCAGGTCCCAGTGATTGGCTCTTGGAATCCGTCTATGGCTACCCAGGAAGCTCTGGGCCTCTGGGGAGCCCAAGAAGACTTCTGGACCCAAAGACATGAGGGACAGAAAAATGGAAGGTTTTCCTAAGGCTGGGGACATAAGGGGATAGTGAAATATGGGATCCTGGGGAGATGGGGGCTGGGTCTTGGACTCCAGGGGGAGAAGGGGACTAGAGGCAAGGGTTCCTGAGTCAGAGGAAGGCAGAGGCCAAGCATTGGGACACTGGTGCTTCCTCCCAACACTCACCTTGGTCTTGCTCCCCACTGGCTGAACTATCCAGAGAGGTAGTCAATCCCATGTACAGCAGCAGCAGAGAGGGGTGGCCCCTCATATTTTGTTGACACCTGGAACCAGGTGTGGTATAGAAGACAGGTGCCTCAAGCCCTGGGAAATGAAGCAAGGTCTCCCTGCCTGGAATCTCTGGTCCATGAATAATTGCAGATACTTAGCCTGTATTCTGTCCCAGACACTGTTTATCTTTCTTTACCTATATCAACTCATTTTAATTTTCACAGTAGTCCTATTTTTATCCCCATTATTTGTTTTTAACTTTGGATCATTTACACCAAATTATTTCCCCATTTTATAGATGAGGAAGCCGAGGCATAGAGAGGTAAAATAAGTTGCCCAAGATCACACAGTTTGCAGTGTCAGGGCCAGGATTTGAGTGAAGGCAGTGCACCTCTAGACACAAAAGCCGGAGCAGGAAGCTTATTTTTTTCTCCACTGTGTCTGCAGCACCCACAACAATTTTTGGCACATAGTAGGTGCTTATCAACATGCCCATTGGTGATCTGGATTCCTTCCTTCTTGGTGATTTCCACTTATGCCTCCCTCTATGCTCATTGCCGCATCCACCCATGGACAACAAAGATTGCAGGAGAGTCAGGGCCAGGGCATTTGTGTATATTCTTGGGTCGAGAGGCATAAGGGAGCAGGGGCCTGGACTCCTGGGCCTAAGGGACCCCAACTTCTGGATCTCTGACAAGTGGGAAGCTAGGACGCCTGGGTCCCCAAGCCAGGCAATTCACCTCACTCTTCACTTACCTGCCCAGACCTATAAGCACTGCTCCTTCCTCCTCGATCAGGGCCTCCGGGGCCAGCTGCAGCCAGCTGTGAAGAGGGGGGAATAGGGAAAAGGGGAGGGGAAGAGTGGTGTCCCACTCCGGGTAGCCAGGCAGATCCCAGTTTCTGGTGGAGGGGCGGGGCTTGTTATTACCTACTCTAGGCGGGACTCAGGTAAGGGACAAAGTATTTAAAGGGACCTTAGGATGAAAGGCCAGAGCGCCACAGGGACGCCTTAGTCTCCAACACCGGTGGGGGCGGGGAAGTGGGGACTTAGGCAATTGAATTTGAGCCGCCTCTTTCGCCCGCCTGTTCTCTCTCTCCTGGGAGCTCGCCTTGTCAAGCTACGGAAATAAATATCTGGGTCCCTAGTTATCTAGAAACTGGGGGGAACAGTATGCATTGGTCATTAGGCTTGTTGGGAAGTGCTATAGTAGTAAATCCCTGTTTCTTGAAGGTGACTTGAACGGCTTTGACTTCTGATTTCTCAATTGCTCTCTATATAAAATAGGAGAGGAGTTATCCCCTCTCAAATGTCTCTTTAAGATGCAGCAAGAAAAGTGGATGATATAATTGGGGAAGTGGGTTTCCCAATCTCTTGGAGAAGTAGGTAGTCCTTAAACTTGGGCTTGGAGAGATTCAAAGCCTGGGAATCAAGCAGGAAATCGAACGCCTAAGAAAATGCCTAGTACATACTAAGCGTTCCTCACCTTCACACCAGTTTCAAGAACCGGAACCTTCGAGTTGTCACTGACGTTTCCGGAGGGAGAAAAAGAGAGGCCTTACCAAGCCGGGCGCGGTACCTCTGTAACTAGGGGCAGCTCTACTTCCGGTCCCTTAGGTCTGGCGGAAATGGGTGGAGCGGAAGGGAAGAGGAAAATAGTGCTCCCTTCCGGTATGGGGTACCGTTGAAGTAGCTACTAAGGACCGAGGAGTCGTTTGTGAGGTGAGTTCCAGGCAGTGGAGGAATGGTGTTGTTGGAATCGCTTTCCCGCGGGCTAGAGACCTGGGGTGTTGAGGAAGACAAGGATAAGATGTCGGATTTCTGACTCCCTGTCAATCATTAACAGAGCTCTGTAGGCGGCCCAAGTTTGAAGTTGAACTACATCTCCCAGCATCCCCTAGAAATAGCCTCCGTCCTTCGTGCAGCTCTCTTGAGTTCCGCTGTAGGTTGTAAAGGGCTGGTGGTCCCCGGGGAGGGAGGGGACTGAGACTTGGAGGTTTACGGAGTGGGTGTTGCGGAAAGAAAATTTCTTTCCTGGCCTCAGATTCCCAGACTGTAATGGGACGGAGGGCTGTTTAGTGGCCCACTGCCTCCCTCTCTTGATGGTTTTCGACAGCCCCTTCTCTTTTGGATTGATGTAGGGCTTAACGTTTTCTTTTGTGGAGCTTTGAAGCCAGGCAGTGCTGGGTTCACATCCTGATTGTGCTTCTGATTCTATGTGAACTTGGGCCTTGAAGGGTCCTTGAAGCAGTTTTATGTTAATGTTTTTGTTTTTGTTTTTTGAGACAGAGCCTCAAGCTGTCGCCCTGGGTAGAGTGCTGTGGCATCATA